TTCCCAATGAGAAATGTAATTGTGTTGTATACCTACAATGTACCAATAAAAGAATTTAATACAAAAAATAAATAAATAAATAAATAAATAAAGATATTATCATAGCAAAGCTGGGATTCAACCCAAGCTAACACCAAAAAAAAAAAAAAAGTTGTTTTGATTAAAATGCTTGAAAAATTAATCTATAATTTATCTATTTGTTGATTAGCTAATTGACTGGTTGGAGTAAAGATTTCTATTTCCCTCAACCAGAAACTACGGATAAAACACTTAATATACCTCTAGACAAAGTTAAAAAAATACAAACATTTTAGGGTCACCATGCCATGGTAGAATCATGAAAAACCTACACACTTCTAATTTTGTTTCCATTCTTCTTTTTAATTTTTCTCCAGAAATGGCGAAGATACAGCTAGGCAATAAGGTATTGCATTTGAATTTATCCAAGCATAAAAATGTTTAATGTCATGACTCCTCCTCTACTTCAAAATGTATGTTGGGGCCGGGGATTTAGCTCAGTGGTTCTGTCACCTGCCCTGCAAGTGCAAGGACCTGAGTTCCATCCCCGGTACCAAAAAAAAAAAAAAAAATGTATGTTATATTTTTACTGAGCAATGTTAATGAATCAATGACTATTAATGTTGTGTACCTGTTCAATAATCGCGAAACCTCATTTCTTTTTAGTTTTTTCTATCTTGAATTATAAACTTCTAGAGATAACTGGTTTTTTAACCCACTTTAAAAAAAATCACAGAAGGCCAAATAATTTGGTACCAAATAACCTGGGCCAAAAAAGTCAGAGGACCTCGAAGCCTGAATATTTAGATTCAAAGTCATTATTAGTAGTTATTATTAACCTTGGGCAAGTCATAGAATTTTTCTCTTAGCCAGAATTTTTCCATCCATATAATATGATAGCAATACCAACCTTTTACTGTTTTAGAAATTATATAAGACAATAAAGATGAAAAATACATTGTTTGCTGTAAAGTATTATACAAATACTGATTACAATTTTAGCAAAGTTTACTAAATTGAAAATGTGATAATGCTGTTGGGTACGTGAACCATAAAAACTGAAATTATTTTCAAAATCAGTTTTTGCTGAAACTTAAATAGTAAACTATTTTCTTCTGATGTTTTATGCAAAGCATATTTCTTATTTCTGTTGAATTTATTTTCTACACCATTTTTTTTATAACTCAGCTACTTTTTACTTTTTCATGTTTCACATGTCACAAAATTTTTATTGTGATTATAATTTTTTTCCCATTTAATGATGAACACCAGTGAAAAAGTATAAGCTTTACAACCAAATATAACTAACTTGGAATTCTATCTCTACTCACTTAAATACTCTGAGCTTTAGTTTTCTCATGAGAAAAAGTTATCTCCCAGGGCCACTGTATTATGTAAGAAAAAAGAAAACCTGCTGTTAGGAGAATGTTAACAGCTCCTTTATCTTCCTTAGCTACTGACTTTATTTGAGGTCTATAACATTAATAATTCCTTGGAGTTGCAAATCTGGCCATAGTCATTTCTCAATGAATGTTTATTTAAAGAGGTTGTGTTTGAGTCTGTTAGGTTCCTATGAGCACCATCATATATCAGTGACTGCATAAAATCAATTATTGATTATAGACCCTTCCAAAGGGGCCACTCTATGGTGAAATGTCCATGATCAACATGGTTGTTGATAATAGAAAATATCTCATTAATTATGAGGAATTACAGAGCATTTCATAAAATCTCACTACTTTTCGCCTCTCAGATTTTCTCTGAATTCATTGTTAATCTGCTTATTTTCTTTAGGCTTGATGAAACCATGCAGGTTTAAAGAAAAATAAAACTATTCAAACTCTATGGAACATTTAAAATCTTTCACAAAAGTCTTAAAATTTTATATATATTTATATATCATGAAATCAATGTCTCTGGTTTTAATAGTTGCTTCGGGGAAATTTGTCTTCATTCACCATGAGATATCTGCATTTTCAGCACAGCAAATGAGACAAATTGTGTAGCCAGAAAATTGTAGCAATATGAATATTTTGTTCATTCATAAAAGATTTTCACCTTCACCTGGCAAGTGAGGTACTTTATTCCTCTGTTTCACAGCTGCTATTTCATTCCTACAAAAGCCTGGTGCTGCCTCAGGAGTTCTGGTAGCAAGTCCTAAAGGGAGGGAATACAAAACTATTGGCATGTAATTTCTTAGCCCAAGTGAACCAGGAATTTTACCTTAAAGGTAAATATAATAACAATGATATAGAAAAGTGTGTATTTTGTGTCTTTAGATGAAATAAATGCAAGGATTGCTATAACAGAGGGACTGTTTGGAAGGAAAAACAAACCTTCTTAAGGGACATACTAGTGGGATTGTAGGCACACAAAACTTCCCAGAAGAAGCATTCAAAACATGATATAAGATCCAACTCTAGCCTAAGCCTCAGTAATACAGAGTTGGGTACTGTGTTGTTAGTATTTTGTAATATTAACCTCCATGACATTTAAATAAAGATATCTTTAATAAAGATTAGTATTTATGCCATCTTAGCCTTCATTTGAACATTATAACATAAGGATGTTGTAGGTTACGGAGAGAGAATTATAAGGGTAAATGGCTATAAAGATAAAGGAGTGTCAGAACTGATGTTAGCCTACATAAACATGGTCTTTGGAGAAAAGGATTAGAAATACTAAGAATACACAGTTGAAGGTTTGATGTGTTTTTAAATCTTTTCTCAAAAAAGGGGCAGTTTTCTTGAAGAAATTTAAATTAGGTGCTAGCTAGGGCTATATGTTAATACCTAGTCATCATTTTAAAAGGTGAGTCTATAGAGGACATAAGTTGCACAACCTTACCTGATGAATAAGAAAAGCACTGCATAGTTAAAAAGTATTAACAATTTTTGTAATTATTAGTGTTGTGTTTATTTCTTCAGGTATACTATTTCATTTGTGATATGTGTGTTTTTCATGAATCCTCAGTAGATAGCATAATGTGTAACTGTAGAAACTGGAAATTATTTGTTGAATAGTTGAATAAGTGAATAAATAATATGAAAGTATAATATTATCCTGAAAGTTGAGTATATTACCATTCTAGTTGGCTCACTGGGTTCTTCAACTCCCAATTTCTATCCTATACTCTTTCATTATATTCAAGGAAATATTTATTAGTCTGAATTTCTTCACTTTGTACTATCTCTAAGAGTTTGAGATCCATATAGAAAATCAGAGGTATTAAATTATTTCTGGTTCCTGATTTTTCGAATTCCTGATGTCTCTTATTCAGAGATGCTGTACCAATATTTTCATCAGATTTTTTTTTAGCAGATTTAAAGAGGTAGAATTGTAAGGTCTCCAAAGGGATGTTTTGTAGACTAATGGTCATCAAGAGGTCCAGAAATGAGAAACAATAACATGATCTGGGATCTTACAAAAAATGAAAAATCTCAGGCCCTACTTCAGATATAGGGAATTAGAATTTCTGGCCCTCTGCAATCTGGGTATTAATACTGTTCACCTAATTATGATGCAGGCTTTAGTTTGAGAACTGCTGCACAAGGGAAAAAATTATAAAGGAAGTGAGAGAAGGCAAAAAGAGTACTAGTATTAGTATTACATCCTATTTATACATTTAAAAATCTAGAAACATAGCAAGTGACATTATTAGTATTAAAGTGATTAATGAATCTGATCACAGTACGTCATTTTTTTTCTCCAAGTAACAATATGAAAGTCATCAAAACCTTCCTACTATGTATTATTTTACTTATGTGCATGTAAAGTTTTCTGAGTTGGCCCTGAAAAAAACAAGTGTCATGGTAGTAGTGTTTCCAGATCTGCTTTAACCTTAATGAAAGTAGAACATCATCAGCCAAGGCTAAAAGGAGTATATCTACTAAAACTTACATCAATAATTATCATAATTAATTATTAAATATTTAAAGCCTTATCCTTGAGATTGAGAACAAGGAAAATATATTGTTGATACCACATCTATTCAATATTGTGAGTATAGAGGTCCTACCCAAATCTTCCTTTAGAAACAAGAAATAGAGCCCACACCCTACCGAGGTCTCCAGTCCCGCGGAACACGCCGAATCAGCCCACTGCAGACAGGCAGGTCTGTGCACGCCCTACCGAGGTCCTGCGTCATGAGGAAGACACCGAATCACCCCACTGCAGACCGGCAGATCTGACCACACCCTACCGAGGTCCCCAGTACCGCGGAACACGCCGAATCAGCCCGCTGCAGACAGGCAGGTCTGTGCACGC